AAGGTCACCTGCTTTTCATACCAGGCAAGGGACCCCAGGGTTAAGGCACAGCACAAGACGTTTAAGTTGGACACACTTATCTGGTGGGGAGTGTGTGGGAGGGTTGGGGTTTACTTTCTCCTGTGGCTTTTTCATTTCGAAAGGATAGATTGTCATTTGCTCTAAAGGGTGTAGGGAAGTCCCTTTCTGAAGGCAGAGGGTGGGACCAGAGGCTGTAAGCTTTTCCTGTCCCGTGGCTGCTCCCCCTGGTCTCTGTTCTTCACTGCTCCCCTCTTGAGCTCTTCTACTTTAGGGAACAAAATGCCACTTCCATGGTGGAACTGCATGAGCTGGCGCCTCTGTGCCCGGAGGTTGCAGGGCAGGCTAAAAGAGAACGTGGCCTGGGATCACCTAACGTCGCCGTTTCAGCTCCAACTCATCAAGGCAGTGGAATGAGGTGACTGTCACGTGAAATGCACCCTTTTCTGGGCAGCAAGATCACCTCAGAGGTCACACGGGTTTCTGAGGGCAAAGACATCCTGTCCTGGGATTTAAATAGACAAGTCTAGCATTTAAGGAGCATGAAGTCATTTTCAAAGAGGGCAGCCTAAAGAAGGATGTTTATGTGACTGTAATGCCAAAGGAATCCACTCCAGCTTTTAGAGAAGCTCTGACCATCTCCTCATGGCGGGAATGCAATACCCATGGGTAACAGCACCATGCACGAGGCATTTCACACGGGAGCTCTCATTTCATTCTCAGAGCAGCTCTGCGAGGTTAGCATTATTATCCCCAGGCCACAGATGAGGAGAGGAAGACTTGGGTCACGGCGGTGGTGAATGGGCCAGCCTGCACCTGGTCTCACTGCGGTTATGCACATGCTCTTTCTTTCATACTAGCAGCCCCCATGGAAAGATCTGGGTCAGTTGATCTCCTGCCATTCAGACTCAAAGATTGGCCTCTGGGACTATGATCAGGCTGAAATCTCAGAGCCTTGCCCCTTGTCAATGAAATCCAGTGTTTTCCTTCATCTTCTAGCCAACGCCCGACAACCTCAGAAGGAACCAGGGTCGATGTCACCACAGTTAACACACGCCTTCCAAAAAAGGAGCTGGGTGAAGCACCAGGGCTCCCTTGGTTTCCCAGGCTGGGCCTCCAGAAATGCATAGAACCAGCTTCCTCAGGAGCTAAGCTGCAGGGATAGCTGGTGTGGCAGCCACCCCGCTTGGTCCTCTAGATAGTTGAGTATCCTGGGAACAAGATTAATGCCAGCTGAAGCCACGGCTGCCTCATTTGCCTTCACGTCGCCCCTCGTATCTCCCGCATAGCAGCTGTGTCATACCCTGCTTCCACCACGCCCAGGCTAGCACACACGCTGTCTCCTCCACTAGCCCACGAGGTGTTGAAAGGTGTGGCTGGTGTGCTCACAGCATGTTGCCAGCAACACGTGGTAGATAGAGGCTTGGATGAACTGAGTTGAAAGGAGTTTGTGTTAGAAGCAGGTAAGAGGTGCTTCTTCCCTCTTTGCACAAACTGTGATCTTAAAGTCCTGAGGTTAGAATATGAAATGATGACTAGTTTTTAAACCAGCTTGAAATAATGAGAATAAAGCTGGACTAGGAGCTAGGACAACTCCCTCAAATCCTGGCTTTGCTACTTTCTAAGATTTGGGGCAAGTTATCTAACCTACTTCAACTTGACTTTCTGGCATAAAATATGTGGCCTAGTTAATCTGAGTTTTAAGATAAATGAATGAGATCACAAAGATGAAAGCACTTGTAAATGGGAATACAAGGTGAATAATTTTTTGTGTTGTGGAAAAAATATAATGAATAATCCAGTTGTCTTAGCAGTTCTAGAGTTTTGTTTTGTCTCGTTTTTTGACATAGCCCTCAAGACACACGCACACACACACACCTGTAACTACTACCTAAATCAAAATATAGAATATTAGTACCATCAGAGGCTCACTGTGGGGCCCTTCATAGTCAATATCCCCCAAAAGTAACCTTCGATTGGACTTTCCTGCTCTTGCATCTTGGGATTTTACCTGAAAAGTCTTCTTTGTTTGGGGTCTCCCCAACATCCCACCTCCTCCTCCCCTGCCTTCCAGGTCTGCAATGCCCACTGGGTTCTCCCACCCAAGAGAAGTTACACCATGCGATGACGGCCATAAGGCCAGCCTCAGGGCCCACAGACCGTGGAGGAGCCCAGGGCTGGAAGCCACTCCCTACCTCCCAGACTGAATGCACCTCATAGGCCTCTGTTACCACCTATCCGTAACTTCACACCCATCTGCCTCAGAGTCATTCTCTCACACCAGCCTGTGAGCTTCCTGAGGACATGGATCATGTTCTATCCATTCTGCGTTCCTTGATCCCTGCTGCAGAGCAGGTGTTTGCGTAACCCACCTGAGTTGTAGCGTTTGGTATAGGACAGGATATCAAATTTGGTAGGTACCAAATTCATGACCTGAATCACTGATCAGGTAATGAATTCACCTTCTTGGCTGAGCTCAGTGGCTCATGCTTGCAATCCCAACACTTTGGGAGACTGAGGTGGGAGGATCGCTTGAAGCCAGGAGCTCAAGACCAGCCTGGGCAACATAACAAGACTCCATTTCTATAAATAAATGAAATAAAAAAGAATTAACCTCTAGGGAGTTTGCCTTTTCAGCACCAAAACATGAAGAAAATTTCCAAGGTTCTTGCAACTGGGGAAATTAACTTGCAAAATATCACCCTTTCCTTCAGTAGGAGACATCCCAAGGATACAAAAATAGCTTTTCAATGTGTGCAATTATTTATTAATTTTTTAAAATGACAAAATGTCAAGGAGCCCCAAAGCCAGAGGCCAACGTTGCACAACCCAGATTGCTAGGACTGGCACTGCTGCTGGGACAGGTGAGGCAAGAACTTTGAAAACTTGCTTCATGTTCTATTGCTGAAAAGACAAACTCCCAAGGGGTGGATCCCTGAGCCAGCAGCATGACTGACCCAGCGACTCCTCAACTGCACACAATCGGACAAGAAGCAGGCCTGGCACTTATGTCCAATGCAAGTTTTGCTTGGCCAGCTTGGTAGATGCGGTTTTACAGGGAGAGCAGCTAAGCTGGTTCTGTGCCTACTCTATTTTTTCCACCTTTGACCCAGCGTCAACTCAACAGGAGATTCCCCCTCCCCCAGCCGCTCACCAGCCCAGCTCAGCCCCATTGGTAAAAATGTGCAGCTGTCACCAAGTCCGTCACCATCTCTCCTTTCCTCCACCTTCGCACCATGTCTCAAGTCCACGCATTCTCTCCATCCCGGCCACCCCTGCCTTAGCTCAGCTCCGGGTGAAGTCTCACCCGGGTCACCAGTCTCTGTTCTTCTCACTGCCAAATCCACCGATGGCATCACCTCCAGTGTGACACTGAACAGCATCACCATCACCTGCTTAAAACCCTTCCATGCTTTCCCATTGGCTTAAAGATAGATTTTAAAACAACAGCTTCATTGAATATCCTCATTAAGATATAATTCACATATCACAGAATCCACCCTTGAAAAGTGTACAGTTCAGGCCAGGTGCGGTGGCTCACGCCTATAATCCCAGCACTTTGGGAAGCCTAGGTGGGTGGATTGCTTGAGTCCAGGAATTCGAGACCAGCCTTGGCAACATGGAGAAACCCCGTCTCTACAAAAAATACAAAAGTTAGCCAGGCATGGTCGTGCACGCATGTAGTCCCAGCTACTCAGTTGGCTGAGGTGGGAGGATGGCATGAACTTGGGAGTCTAGGCTAGTGTGAGCTGAGATCACACCACTGTACTCCAGCCTGGGTGACAGAGAGAGACGCCGTCTCAAAAAGAAAAGTATACAATTCTCTTGTCTTTAGTGTAATCACTCGGTTGTACAATCATCACCACTAGTTAATTCCACGTTTTCATCACTTCAAAAAAGAAACCCTTCATCCATTAGCATTCACTCCCCAATCCGCCTTCCCCCCAACCCCAGGCAACCACTAATCTACTTCTTCCTCTATGGGTTTGCCTATTCTGCGTATTTTATGTTAGCGGAATCACACAATATGCAGTCGTCTGTGTCTGGTTTCTTTCATTTAGCACAATGTTTTCAAGATTGGTCTGCGCTGCAACATGTATCCGTATTTTATTCCTTTCCATGGCTGAGTGGCATTGCTGTGCCACATTTTGTTTATCCATTCATCAGCTGATGAACATTTTGGTTGTTTCTGCTTTTTGGCAATTATGAATAATGCTGCTAGGAACACTTGTGTACAGGTTTTTGTGGGGGCCTATGTTTTCGTTTGTTTTGTGTAATTAGCTAGGAGTGGAGTTTCTGGGTCCTGTGGTGTTTAAGGATTCATTTCAATGCCTTACTGTGAGGCCAGGGCCCTGCCCATTCAGAGCCTGCCACACCCTGGCCCAGACTCCACTCCTCTCTTGCCAGAGCAGACAACTGCAACACTCAGAACACACCACACCCGACACTTCCTGCCATCCACCCCCTCCACGTGACCTGCCTGTCTCCAGCCTCTGCACCTGGATAACTCCTTCAAAGCTCAGTTCAGGCGTCACCACTAACTGGGGATTCTCCAGTGAACAAAACAAAATCCCTGCTCTTGTGGAACTCTTGCTAGAGAGAGGCGAAACAAGTACAAAGAAATACAACTATATATTAACAGGCATACATGTTATGTACCCAACTATTTGCCAAAAATTGAAGCTTCCCTTTTCACAGTGTGGAATTGTTGCTGTCCCAACAGGAATAAGGTTTATGTTTTCCCGCCTTTTTTCTATCCGGATGTGACCACGTCATGACTTCTTGTTAGTGGGATGGAAGTAGAGATATGTGTGTCACTTCTGGGATTGGGCTTTTAAGAAGTGGGTGGGTTTTTGCTGTACTCTCTCTTCCCCTCTGCAGTTTGGGTGCAGGGGACTTTGAGGCACTAGGGATGGCAGGTCTGCAGGATGGCAGGAGCCTGAGTGCCTGAATCACCACATGGAAGCAAGTCATGTACTCACCAGGAGCACCACATCAGGCTGATGGAGGATGAGGATCCAACTTCTATTGTCTTAGGCCACCGAAGTGTTGAGTTCCTTTCCGAAGGCAGTTAGTGTTTCCCTCATACAACTGAAAATGAAAGGATTTTTCCATCAGGTACAGTCAGGCATAATTCATCTTTTCTGGAACAGAAGAGTGGATGTGAACTTTTACTTGCTTCCTGTTTTGGTGCCTTTTGTGTGAGGGTCTGCTAAGTCAACCCTGAAAAATTTTCCACCCACCAAAAATATTCCCCAGCCGGGTGCAGTGGCTCACATCTCCAATCCCAGCACTTTGGGAGGTTGAGGCTGGCGGATTGCTTGAGCTCAGGAGTTCAAAACTGGCCTGAGCAACATGGCAAAACCCTGTCTCTACAAAAAAGTACAAACATTAGCCAGGTGTGGTAGTGTACATCTGTAGTCCAGCTACTGGGAAGACTGAGATGAGAGGATCGCTTGAACCCAGGAAGTCGAGGCTGCAGTGAGCCATGATGGCATCACTGCACTCCAGCCTGGGCAACGGAATGACACCCTGTCTAAAAAAAAAAAAAATTCTCAAGGTACCCTCAGCAGATCCAGCCAACTGAGAGTTGAGAGGAAGCATGGATTGTTGGGAAGGGGAGAGAAATGGGGTTTCTGCCTTTTATAGTAATGATCCCCTCCCACCAGTTCCCAAGTCTCCTCACCTAAACACACACAATTTACTCATGTAACTGTTTGCAGGCAGAGGCATATTTTCTACACCTGAGTTTTGGAAACGAGCTCTCAAACCGTGTGATAGCAGAGCTCTAGGTAAATGAAAACTTGGCCTGTGTGCTAGGCCTCCTGTTCTCTCCTCGAAGCCCGTCTCTGCACATTGCACATGTTCAACTCACTGAGCAGGAAAAACAGTGAAGATCCCGGTGGAGACACGGGAGGGGGTTACATCTCACTGGAGAGCACAGCGTCCCCACTCTCACCTTAACTAGCTCCGCTCTGCTCAAATTCTCTCCTCACAGCCTCTTTGCCTCCTCTTTATTCCCTCCTCCCCTCCCCTTCCCTGGTTCCACCTGTTCATCTCGGCCTCACGCCTCTTCAGGAAGTTGCCTCTGCCCAGTGTGGGACCCCCTCTTCTGGGTCTCTCACTCCTTTTTTCTTATACAAAGCATCAGTATTTCCATTTTATCCCCTTAATCCTAGTTACACAAATTAACTTTCTCTGGATCCACCCTTAAACAAAGTAGAGCAGGGGGGTTCTAAATAACCATAAGGTTGTTTATCCTAGCAGGAACTCAAAAAATGCCTATCTTTGTTCTTTCTTTCTGCCTTTTACATGCCCAAAACATCTGCCACAGTATAAACATTCCACACATCCTTATCAAAAGGAACCAAGGGGTCTTGGAAATATATTGGAAACACATTGAATATACGAAAAGAAGGCACAATTTAAGGTGGAGTTGTGACGGCAACTAGCATCTTATTCAGTTGCATGAAAGAGTTTAAGTTGATTCAACCAATGATGCAGAAGGAAAGAGCTGCTTTGCACCACGTGGTGGCAACTAACAGATACTAACAGGTGTTCCTGGCTTATCGCTAGGTGATCGTGGTTTCGCATTTAATTTCACTGGCCACCGACACCTGCGATTTTGCATATTCCTGCTCAGACCACAAAATTCTTTATTATAACGTTTGAGTACCCTGGAGTTGGTAACTCCAAACTGACCCAAACACTGTCCTTCCGTCTTCAAGGTGAGTCCAGTCTTTTAAGCATTTTAAATTCCGTAGACATGAGATGTGTGATGCAGGGTGCCTGCTTATTAGAGTTCACAAGGATTGGGTATCTTCCAGCTTGGAGATAATAGTTTTCCCACTACACTGTTGTTATTATTATTTTATTTTATTTTTTAGAGACAGGGTCTCGCTCTGTCACCCAGGCTGGAGTGCAGTGGTGCAATCACAGCTCACTGAAGCCTCGAACTCTTGGGCTCAAGCAGTCCTCCTGCCACGGCCCCTCATCATTATAGCCAAACTTTATTGAGCATTACGATGTGGCAGGTACTGTCCTAAGCACTTTGAGATTTTATCTCACAATATCCACACAACTGTCCTAGGAGGTAGCTACTGTTGTCCCTATTTTACCAAGGAGGAACCTGAGGAGTTAACCCATTTGTCTAAAGTCACTTGGTAAGTAAAAATTGGGAGACAGGCTTCCAGGTCTGTCAGACTCCAGAGATCTGCACTCTGAACCCCCGTGTTTCTCAGCAGAAGATGGAACACCTGACTTTTATGAGTGACACAAGTATAAAGTTGGAATGCAAATAATCAGTCTGGTGCATCCCTGGGCCCCCAGCAGTGTGGCTGGGTTGGTTCAGGGCTTTGTTGAAGGTTCAGGTCTGCTTTGCAGGTGGCTTGAAAAGGAGGTTGAAGAGAAAGGGGAGGAAGAGGAGGAGAAGTAAGTTGCTTTTAGGCTGCATTTAGCATATTCTAAGGCAAATAGTGAATGCTCTTTTTTGTGTTTCAGGTGAATGGTGGCCCCTTCAGTGATGATAGAATCCACAAGTCTCCCGTTTAGAAGAAACCTAACAACATGTAGTTTAGGCTTCTGCCTCCAGGAAAGATTAGAGAGATGATCCTCCAGACCTGTTTCCTTATCACTATGAAGGGGCTTAGGGGTGCAGGCAGACTGATGGCCCTGAGGCCTGTGTTAGTCCATTTTCATACTGCTAGGAAGAATGACCTGAGACTAGGTAATTTATAAAGAAAAAGAGGTTTAGTGGACTCACCGTTTCACATGGCTAGGGAAGCCTCACAATCATGGCGGAAGGCAAAGGAGGAGCAAAGGCACACCTTACATTGTGGCAGGCAAGAGAGCATGTGTAGGGAAACTGCCTTTTATAAAACCATCAGATCTCGTGAGACTTATTCACTGTAATGAGAACAACGTGGGAGAAAACCTCCCCCATGATTCAATTACTTCCCACCAGGTCCCTCTCATGACATGTGGGGATTATGGGAGCTACAATTCAAGATGAGATTTGGGTGGGGACATATCCAAATCATATCAAGAACCTTTCTGGACTGGGTTAGAAGGCTGGGAGAGGCGTCAGCTTCTGGTGTTCCTCTGTAGAGGAAAGCTGAGGATTCCATCTTCTCCCTAGGATGATGTCCATTACCTGATAACCTACCACGGCGATCTCTGGCTGCAGTCTTTCCTCTGGAGGAGATGGGTAGAAGAAATACTTGAAGTGCTGGGGATCCGGGGGCTGGGTTTCAACAGAGCTGTTGAGAAGGTAACTAGAAACAGGAGTTATCCATTAGATTTTGGTTGAACCACTATGGAAAACAGTGTGGAGATTCCCTAAAGAACTAAAAGTAGAATTACAATTTGATCCAACAATCTTACTACTGGGTATCCACTCAGAGGAAAAGAAGCCATCATATGAAAAAGATGCTTGCACACATGTTTATAGCAGCAAATTTGTAATTGCAAAAACCAACCCAAATGCCCATCAATCAACAAGTGGATAAAGAAACTGTGATATATATATATGCAATGGAATACTAGTCAGCCATAAAAAGGAGTGAGTTAACGGCATTTGCAGCGACCTGGGTGGGACTGGAGACTATTATTCTAAGTGAAGCCACTCAGGAATGCAAAACCAAACATCATATGTTCTCACTTATAAGTGTGAGATAAGCTATGAGGATGTGAAGGCATAAGAATGACACAATGGACTTTGGGGACTCAGGGGAAAAGGATGGGAAGGGGGTTGAGGGATAAAAGACTACAAATAAGGTGCAGTGTATACTGCATTGGGTGATGGATGCACCAAAATCTCACAAATCACCACTAAAGAACTTACTTGTGTAACCAAAAACTACCTGTTCCCCAATAACCTATGGAAATTAAAAAAAAAAAAAGACTTTGGTTGAGGAATCTGCTCTTGGTAAATTAACTTTCACCTTTCGTGTTTGTATTTTTATTTGTTTTTCCTTCTTTACTGGTTGTGATTGATTTATTGGCCCTGATTCTTCATTCTTTACTGTGTTCACAACTCTACCCATGTTACTTTGCAGTTCCTCCCACTAGAGGCAGATCTTACTTGTTCCTCAGCTTTGGGCTCACCCTGTGACTTGTTTGGTCAATGGGCTGTTAACAGATATGCAAACAGGACTTAATATGTGTTTTCACGGTTAGGCTTATTTTTTCAGACCTTTGCCATCCTCATGAGAAAAACATGCCAAGCTTGCCCACTGGTCCAAGGAGAATAAGGGATGTGTGGATAAGATCTGATCTCAATTTGCAGCTCAGAGCTATTCAGCCAAGCTCAGCCTGTATCAGATGGCCTCCAGCCAATAAACCGATGCATGAGCAAAATGCATGCTTGTTAGGATGTGCCACTGAGATTTTGTGGTTGTTTGTTATGTTGCTATGGCTGACTGATAAATCAGTAAAAGTTCATTTTGATGCACTCCATTGTCCTCTTTGCTGAATTTATCAGTAAAAGTATTTCCCAAACCTTGGTTAGGATATCTGCTGGAATCTAGATCCTTCTAAGTCCAGGAGGCCATCTCTAAATCCTGGGGAGGGCTGCAGCAAGTCGGGAAGGGGAGGGGAGGGGAGGGGAGGGAAGGGAAGGGGAGGGAGGGGAAGGGAAGGGAGGGGAAGGGAGGGGAAGGGAGGGGAAGGGAGGGGAAGGGAGGGGAAGGGAAGGGAAGGGAAGGGAAGGGAAGGGAAGGGAAGGGAGAAGAAAAGAGAAGAAAAGAGAAGAAAAGAGAAAAGAGAAGAAAAGAGAAAAGAGAGAAGAAAAGAGAAGAAAAGAAAGAGGATTTAGGAAATGCTAATCAACCTGGAATAAGAATCTGTTCTTACACTTTGAATAATTTGTTGTAAAATGAATGCTTCCATTTTATCTTCAGGTTAAAACTGTAGAATGTTCAACTCTGATGAGGTAAACTGAGGCTGCTTGGGAGAGAATTTTTGGACCTGCCTGGAATTTGCGCAATCTGAAATGAAGACCATGGAGGCTCTAGGTGAACCACAAGACTAGAAAGAGTGATGCCCATTCTCCTGCTTCCAGGAAGGACTTGTATTTTTACACATAGTATTTTTGTTCTGACTATGACAAAAATACATATGTGTTTTGGAAAGTACAGAAAATAATAAAGAAAATAAAAATAATATACAATTCTACTACCCAAAGATGATTATGATTGGCATTTGAAATTTTCTCAGTTTCAAAAAATGCATTTTATCCTGCCTTTTAAAAAATGCATAGCATTATATCTGAAGAATTCTTTCATGTTGTTGAAGACTGTTTGTAAACATCAGTTTCAA